AGCACAGCAATACCAAACCAACCCGAAGTCTCGAGAAGGAGAAAGAAAAGGGAGAGTGTGGGTGTGTATTTTATCAATATATAATATATGTATCATATATGGTGACATGTTAATTTCCTTTTTCATTGAAAGTGAAAAATATATGTATCAATCTATTTTTCATTGAAAGTGATTAGATTTTTGGGAAAAAGACTGTTTACTACCCTCATGTTTCGTGGTTTTCAACATTTAGTACATCAATTTTTTTTCATCCCAAAGTCATACCTAAAGTGTAAATTTTGAGACAGTCTCATACATCCGTTAGTCAAACTGTTAAGTTTCCAGTTACATGATGACGTGGCGCCCATGTGGATAATGACTGGGCGCCACATGTCATCCACATGGAAATTAAAAATAAATTATTTATAAAATAAATTTAATTAATTTAAATAATTTATAAATTAAAAAAATAATAATAATAAAAAACCCCTTCTTCCCCAAATCCCACCCGTGCCCACCCTCCCTTCATCCACCCCTTCGTCTTCCCCACCCTCTACCCCTACCCACCGACACCCTTCCTTTCCCTGATACCCACACAGCAGAACCCATTTCATCCCCCAATTTTATCAAGACACCCACCACCCAATTTTATCAAGCTCCGCCATTTCCGACACCAATCTCACCACGCGCACCTGAACCCTCCGGTGTTTGAGTCCGACGGCACCAACCTCTCCCTCCCTCCTCTTCCCCCGTTGTCCGCTCCCTCGACCTCCCAGCGCAACCCAGAAGAAGAAAAAGAAAAAGGAGGAGGAAGAAGAAGAAAAAAAAAAAACTGAATTTGCAACCCAGAAGAAGAAGAAGAAGAAGGAGGACGAGGAGGAGGAAGAAGAAGAAAAAAAAATGAGGAACCCAGTTCGTTCCCCCGAGGAAAAAAAAAAAAAAAAAAAAAACCGAATCTGCAACCCAGATTCGGAGGAAGAAGAAGAAGTAAAACCCAATCCCCAAAACCCAGAAGAAGAAGAAGGAGGAGGAGGAGGAAGAAGAAGAAAAAAAAATGAGGAACCAGTTCAGCCCCCCGAGGAAGAAGAAGGAAAATAAAAAAAAAAAGATTTTTTTTCAAAAGTTTTTGGCGGGAAAAAAAAAATTTAATACTACCAAAATCCCTTATCTAAAAAAAAAAACAAAATCCACGTGGACCCACGTGGCGACCCACTTGGCGCCGAGTCATTGTTCACATGGGCGCCACGTCACAGTTAACGGGAGACTTAACAGTTTGACTAACGAATGTATGAGACTGTCCCAAAATTTACACTTTAGGTATGACTCTGGGACGAAAAAAAATTGATGTACTAAATATTGAAAACCACGAAACATAAGGGTAGTAAACAATCTTTTGCCCTAGATTTTTATATTTAAATATTCAAAGTAAAAATCTAAGTAAAGATGTATAAATAAAGAAATTTAAATAAAATTGTAAAAATTAGAAAACTAGACTAAATCCAATAACAACTCAAATTTTTGGACTTGAATCAAAGTACTCTAACAATTTCCCTTGATGAATGAACGTAGCTAAAATTTTAATTTACAACCATCAATATTTTTATTTGTCTTTGTAGGTTTTAATAACCTATATATAATCATCATTCCTTCTTACTCATGCCTTCTGCTCACCCAACATTGATGCTTATGAATGAGTACTACAAAGTGTCCCTTAATTAAAAATGTTTGAGGGATCCTTCAACAGAAGGAGACTATATATATATATTGGGTTTGGATCAGGGAATACACATTTTGTAGGGTCCCTTTATCATAATTGTGTGATTCACTAGCGTCAAGAATCGAACCTATGACTCTTTACCTTCATGTTTTATGACGTTACAACATAGTTAAGGTTTAATGCTTAAATTACAAAAAAAAAAAAGGTCAAGTTATATAATCATCAAAGCTGACACACTACTATAAAAGTGGCTATAACTGGCGGTCCAAAAACCGACAAGAAAACATAATTTTTATCGGATTTTTGCCAAAAATCCGATATCAAATCATGCAATGTTGGATAGGAGAACCGACACCATTGCTAGCGTCACGAAAAAGCTTTTGATGTCAGTTAGTCCCCTTAATCAGCCACCAAGAAGGAAAGCAATATAAAATAAAAAATGATAGTAACGTCGGTTAAAAGCAACATCGAATATCACGTCGGATACAGACAACATTAATTACTGATAAGATGGTGATCCTAACCGACATTACATAACTATTCCAGAAATAAAATAAGCAACCTCATGTCGCCCATAACCGACACCACAAACCATTAATAAAAAAAATCTAACAGTCTGTCTCAGTTTATGGGAAATCCAAAAACACGTATACGATGCAGATTCTTTCACAACACTTGGCCGCGTAAATGCCTCTGATCTCCTCTTTCCTGAATTTCTGCAACAGTTTCACAAGGGAAAATAAATTACAATATGGAATTACAATATATAATTTTCATTAGAAAACAGGTTATGGGAATAAATCCTAGAACACAAGAGTACACTAAACTTGAAAAAAAAAATTCCCAGAACTCAAATCGACCGAGACAACAGCAAGGAGGCCACTAATCTTGAAAAAGAAAATTACATTTGTGCCAATTCAATAACAAAATTTAGGAAGAATCTGAAAGCCCTAACTTAAAACCAATTAGCAGCCCTAATTGTAGAAATGGTAAATAAGGGGAATGTACAATGAAGAAGAAGAAGGAACTTGAGCCAAAGAGCAACACACCCAGTGATGCGACTGTGAGTTGTATAGCAGACTTTTACCAAGCGAGACACGTATTTAAAAAAATAAAAACACCAATCTGTCGGCTACACCAATCTGTTGGTGTTTACATTGCTTATGCATTTAGGGCGTGTTTGTTTGCCCTCGTTAGAGTTCACTGGACTAGATTACTTTGCTAAGACTAGTAATCCCGTGTTTGATGCGAGTTGGACTAAACTTAAATGAGACTAAGTCAGACTCGTTCTGACTAAGTGCTTCGCTAGGTCGTCCTAGTGAGACCCCCCAAAAAGCATGGGATTCCTAATCCCGTCTCCAACATCGTTTGCACGCCTTAGTCGTCTGCAACTCCGACTCCCTTACCCATGCCCAGATCTCAAACCCACTGCCTAAATCTCAAAATCAATACCTAAAATTCAAAACAAAAAAATGCAAAACCCCCAAATGTAAGCACCTGCAGACAAATCCCCCACACAAATTCAAAATAAAAAGGCAAAATCACTAGAAAAATTTGAGATTTTCCTAGAAAGTCAATGAAGGCATTGGGTGGAGAGCTCCGATAAATCATCTGCGCAAATCTCTGCATAAGGAAAAGAGGGGGAGAGTGGATGAGGAAAAGTGGGAGAGGGGAGGGAGAGAGTGGGTAGAGGAAAATAGAAAGAGGTATATGGAGAGGAAGAGAATTCTAAAAAAATGGTGAAACAGGACACAGAGAGGAGAGGGAGAGACTGGAGGAGGAAAAGAGGAGGAATGGGTTAAGATGAAAAAACATTAAAAAATATTGGCAGACAGAGAGATGATTCTGGAAACAAAAAAAAATGATAAATTAATAATAATTATTAATAAATATAGATTAAATAATATAATATTTGAATCTTTTAGTTATCTTCTTCTTAGTCCGACATTGCACCAAACGCTTCACTAAGCTAGTATAGCTTAGTCTAGTCTAAGTTAGTCTAGCTTAGTCCCTGCAGCTAGTCCAGTCCGAGACAGTCCGGTGTAACAAACACACCCTTACATGATTGCATTATTCTCTGGAGTGAAAATTTGAGTACAATCTATTTATCTTACTCTATTTTGTTTTTGTGTATAGCTCCGTAAACATAAAATTATTAATTTGGGAGGGAGAGATGCCAAAGGACGAGAAAGATGAGTTGTTTAGATAAGTTAAACGGGCTAATTAAAGGAGAGGAAAAATAAGGAAGGGTAGTAAATATTGAAATAGTTATTATTTCTAAATTTCTATGAGTGAGAGTTAAAAAAAAAAAAAAAAAAAACTCAACCGTGAGTGGCTATTATTGTCACTCCCGCCACCACCCCCCCATAACCGCCGTTATCACCACCCACCATCATCACAGCCGCCGGTACCACCACCTACCATTGTCACCGCCACCCACCATCATCACAATCGTCGCCACCACCACTTACCATTATCATCCCCGTCACCGCCACCTACCATCACCATTACCGCTGTCGCCATCACCCACTATCATCACCATCGCTGCCACCACAATTACTGCCTACCATCATCACCATCACCACCACCATCATCTACCTTCACCACCACCACTGCCACCACCACGACTTCCACCGCCACCTCCATCCACCATCCACCATCCACCATCACCATCGATGCCGCCACCTCCACTTAACATCATCACCATTGCCACCACCACAACGCACCATCCACCATCACCGCTGCCACCACCACTTACCATCATTGCTGTCACCACCCACTATCATCACCCTCACCGCCACCTACCATTACCATTGCCACCACCACCACCACCACCACCACCCACCATCATCACCACTGTTGCCACCATAGTCACCACCTACCATCATCACCATCACAACCATCACCACCACCACCATCACAATTTTCTAACAGCGAATTTGTATCACATTATTGCTAGATATTGTGAGGCTAAGCCCATCCCCTCCCCTTTAGTGTAAATAATTTCGTTAATTTTTTTTTTTTTATCTTTTTGAAATTTCTTGAAAATCTTAAATTCCATAGTCCAAACTAGGGGTGGGCAAACAAGTGCAAGACCCACAGGACGGGGGCATGTATTATTGATTTGGGCCAGGTTCGGGGCGGGGCCTAATTTGGTAAAGACTAAAACGGGGCTAGGCGGGGATAGGGTATTTATAGGGCGGGGCGATTCCATAATCTTAGAATCATGGGGCCCCTGACCGACATGTTTCTACCATACAATTAATGGACACGGTAATTGCTTGTTTAGCCTTATCCCCTCACTCCCAGACTGCCCCACTTTCTTTCTTCGTTTCTCAACTTTCTGATACTCTTCTCCCTCCCACCCCTTGATTTGACCACGTCGACATCACAACAGCCACCACACGAGTCACGACATCACCTCACCATCATTTTTAGAACTGGAACCTTTATGAGACTAATGGAGTCGACTCGAATTTGACATCACATAGTAGCCAATGACCATATGCCATCACCCTCACCATCGCCTCTTGACTCTCATATGAAGATCTCTTGTTTGAGATCGGTGAAGACGAAGATGCCTTGTTGCAGATCGAAGAAGATGGAGGTGCCTTGTTGTTGATCATAGAAGATGAAGATGCCTTGTTGCAAATCATAGAAGATGGTGGGCACAAGGCTCCAGACCGGAGAAGACGGGGGGGGGGGGGTTCAACGATTTATATGATTGTTTTTTTTTTGAAAAAGGTTTTGGGATTTAGTAGGAGATACTTTAGGTTTTGAGATTTGAAAACAATTTATATGATTCGATTAATTTGTATGCATGTCAACCTTTTTTAGGCAAGTGGGTTCAGTAGGAGATACTGGAAATCCCAAAACATTTTTCATAGCAAAACAATCATAATGCTACTGCTTCGAGAACCATGAGTCGTTCAATTCTTGTTGCAGATTATCCTAATGCTACTGCTTTTGATTTGAGCTGTCTTGGTTGTCGACAGGAGAAGATGAATGATGCGCTAACAAAATAAAATGGCATTACTCGACTCAGCCTGTCCCGTTGCATTTTTAAACCGATTCAATTCGGTTCTTTCAAATATAGGCCCGGCCCAGCCCGTGCCCACCAATAGTCCAAACAGTGTAAAAAAGAAATTTAAATTTAAAACTCTGGTGCTGCCTATGAAAGCTTTAGGCGGGGGGTGCCACAGCCTGTGGGATATTTCTTATATATTCACCGAGTCGCTCACGCTCATCAATTCAGGAAGAAGGCGAGTCCAGGGTATGGCAGTGGACACCAATTTCGCATCCTCATTTCGATAACCTAAAGCTGGACGATCCATGGCTTCCTCCAACTAATTGGGAATCGATCCCATCCGAAACCGGAAATTCCCACCTTCTAAACCCCAACTCCTCTTCCTCTCAGTCTCTCTACAATGCCTCCGTCGTCTCCGTAAGGCCCACCTTCTCTCCCTTAGGGTTTCTTCGAACTCGATTAATTCTCTTGCGGCTTGACATGCATTTCTGCCTTCTATGAATGCACTGCAAGGAGTCGAATCGTTTAAAAGTAAGAAGTTTAAGAATTTGAACCGTTTTGGGTGCAGGAGGCAAGTTTGGTGCGGTTGGCTATGAATGCACTGCAAGGAGTCGAATCGGCCCTTGTTAGTATCCGGAAGCTTTCTGCTGCATTTTTCTCCGACCCGGCGGATCGGACCTTCCATCAGATTCCACGTCTGTGGAATAGGTCCTCTAGCACCCATGCTCTGGGAAGCATTCTCCAACCCATTGGCAGCTCAGGTTTGCGAGTCTTTCTCCTCCGAAAATTTGTGGATTTCTTTACGAATTTGAATGCGGAAAGTCAAGGTCATCTTGCTGGTGAAGCTCAAGTGGAGCAGTGCCCTCCCTAGTCTTGTTAACCATGCTTTCGCCGTTTCCGTGGAAAAGGTTGTGGAAGGGTACATGTGTGCACTGGATACATTGTATGCATCAGTGGGTTTGAGGCGCTCTTCACGTTCTTCTTCTGCGGTGGGATGTATGAACAGTGTAGTGTATTCTGAACTTACTTTGTTGGAGTTGTATTTGCATACGAAAGAATTAAGGACTCAGATTGAGGCCCTTACGAACTTATGCAACTTATGTCAGTTCTCTAGTTGCTTATCAGTATCTTCTTTGGAAGAATTGGTTTCAAATGCAAATTTTGAATTTTCTAAGTTCTATAGAGGAGGGGATTTGCTCACATATCTGTATACTCAATTACAGGTTAGCTTACATTTCTTTTCCCGACGCACAACCTTGTGTAGTATGCTATGCTCTTCATTGACATATTTATTCATTTTAGAAGTTTAACCTCTGGTTTTGCTACTGGACACCTCATTGACATATGTATCTATTTTATCTTCTTTGTTTTAGGTTTCTGATCCTGCTCACCGTCCTCTACTCAAATTCATTTTTCTCCGTACATTTGAGCCATATTGTGGGTTTATTAGATCATGGGTATTCAAAGCTGAGATTAGTGATCCTTACATGGAGTTTGTGGTAGAATATGTTGACAGTATGTCTCAAAATCAATGTGGTAAAGCCGGAAACCCTATTGACTTCCCATTGGCAACTATTAAGGTAATGCTATTACTTTTAATGTTCAAAAGCTGGAGTTGGATACTGTTTTCCATGAATGCATCATTCTCTTCTTCGAATGAGTCTCATGGTTGGTGTTTCTACCTCAGGAACGAGATGGAGTTGCTGTTCCTTGTTTTTTGAAGGACTTCTTGATTCCACTTGTCCGAGCTGGTCAGCAACTGCAAGTTCTGGTGAAATTGCTTGAATTGTGTACTTTTGTTGCCACCAAAGACCATACTTATGAGGGGTTTCTTCCCTGCTGGAGTGGGTTTTCGGGCAATTGTCCATGGTATGCATCTCTGTTGACATTCAGCAAAGGAAGTATAGAGGCCAGGATACTTTCGAGGGACAGTTATTACAAAAAGATGCAGGAAAAACTTGAGAATCTTTCGGCGAAATTAGAATTCAGATATCAACAGGTCATGGGCTGTGATCATTTAGTTTCTCTAGAACCATGTTTCTCCTATGATTTTAAAAATTGAATAGCATTATAACTCTAATTAGTTTATAACTCTAATTAGTTTTCTGTGTTTAGTTTGCAGCATGCAATGCATTAGCAATTTATTCAGTTTCTGGTCAATGTTTGTTTATTAGGATGTGTTTGTGTTCCTAGGCTTATATAAAATTATATATTGCCTCTATGACTTGTGAGTACCCTTGATGGTTTCTTAAACCTTTTTTTTTTTTTCACTAAAATAGGTCATGTCACATTTGCTTATAGTTCTAGGTTGTGTTAACACTTTCCAGATATAATTACAAGACTTTGTTGCTCTGATATGCTCCAAAATGTTATATTGCTGGTTGGAAGCAATCTCTGATGGTGTGACATTGGAACTCTGCTTATGATGAGCAAATTGGGTTTTATGCAAATCATGCAAATTTAAGTTGATATCGCTGGGTCCTTTGCCATAGAACTGTTCTTATATCGATAGGTCTTTTGACGTGCCATGATTACCTTTGGAAAGTATATTATGTCCTGGCTTATAGGTGCCTCTCTCTTATTTATCTTCTTCTCTACTCTCTAGAAGGAGTAAGGGTTGTGAATGATAGGAACATGGGTCTCATGTCTACCTGCTTTCATACAATTTCTCTGCAGTGTTATTATCTGGTTTTCTTATAACTTGATTCATTTTATTTACACAGGTAGTTCCGCAAGGCAGACTGCCCGTTCGCTTGGATAATAATGGAAGGAGTTCCACCATCCCATTTCTATTCACATTGGATGACAATGTTGATAGTTTTATTGCTTCTCCAACAGATGATGAAAGGGAGTCACATGTGTAATCTCTCTCTCCCTCCTACTTTTCTTTTTGTGAAATGTCTATGTAATTGTTTTGTGTGCATGGGAATGCATGCATGTCTATTCTTTCGGGATGACTGTTACGCTTCTGCATATATGGTTTTCTTATCATGTTAGGATTGGGAGAGGCTGGTGAATACATATGCTCCCTTTTTCGTAATAATTCTTTTTTTTTTTTTTTTTTTGCCACTTTCCTTCCAAATGTTATTGTAGCTTCATAAATGGTTGGATTTCTCTAATTCTCAGGGCAGTTCATGATTTGGATTCTGATGAATTAAGTGAAAGGGATGGTCTATCTGACCTGGTGGATACATACGATTCATCTGAATGTTCAACCTCCTGTTATTCTGAAGAGCAAAATGTGCCAGAGCAAATGATTGGGCTTCCTAATCATATCATTGAGTTGGAGCAAAAATATTTATCTACTTTAAGCTTTTCAATGAGTAGTCCAGTTGAAAATTTGCAAAATCCTCATGTATGTGAAGATTTGTAAGTGACCCGAATAAATTTGGTGAAGAAAGAGATTCCCCTGTACATTCTCATCATGAAGGAAAGTTTACAAGCCAGATATCTGTGCCCGTCAAACCAAAGGAGTCAAACTGGTCATGTATTTCTGGTGCTCAGTTTGTAAATTGTGTATCTACTAAGGATTGGCCCAAAAGTAATCCATTTGAGAGTTATTCTGTCGTTGATAAAGAGGACAGAGATGGTCAAAGGTCACATACAATGGATTCTGCCTCAAAGGTGAATGAGAGAATCATAGGGGCCTTAAAGGAAGCTACATTTAGAAAAAGAATTGAGACTAATAATTCTTTAATTGAAGAAGCCTCTGCAAAGAACCAACCTCTAAATGCAACATATACTTCTTCAGATTTATTGACATTACAACATTTGAAGGTTAACTCCCATAACAATTTTCTGAGCATGATCCCAATTCTGACAAAAACTAACATAATTCACATGATAACCAAGCCAGGAGAGAGAGACAGAACAGACTTTGGGGGTGCTTTACCTTACTTTGACTTTTCTTTCATAAAAGACCCTTTTAAGGTGTGTCTCCAAAAGCCACCTGCAGGGCTTTTGGACTCCAGTGCCTCAGCTTCCAGTGTCTGGAGGGATCACCTTGGAAAACAATGTTCTGGTGGAGATAATGTCTTGATTGATAAGACCAATGTATCTGATGTTCTTCCATATTCAGACTCAAAGGACCACAACCAGGCAGATGCAAATTTAACAAATGTTACTGGTGGTAGTTGTTGGGAGAGTTTGCTTGGTAGATTTAGTGACACTGTCGTTAGTAGAGTTGAAGATCACAGACAAGGCACGGGAGACAGTTTTGAGATACCACTTGATTTTATTATTGACAAATGCCTTCTGCAGTATCCTTTTCTTCTGTGCATTACATAAAAGGAAAGTTTATCTGGTCCTGAGTATTGCTCTTAATTTCTTCTTTCGCATAAATGCTTTGGTTATGCACATTCTGAACTGCATAGAAAGTTTTACAACCATAAGTTTGTCTGCTTTATTGCTGTTTAGCTATTCTGTGGTTGTGACTTGTGAGTCTTATTTATCCCATTGTTTTTATGTCCTGCTCAAAGTGCTTCTGTTGAAAGAGAGATGGTAACCTTAAACATGCTAGATATAAGTATGTCAGCAAGCTAACTATTAAGTTGCTTGAAGAAGGATTTGAATTGCAAGAACATTTACTGGCTCTACGGCGATACCACTTTATGGAACTAGCGGACTGGGCAGATTTGTTTATTATGTCTCTTTGGCAGCATGTATGTCATTACACCATACTAGTATCTGAGTCATCATAATACCATCTGACTTATTTTTTTTGTATCTTTTCTTTACCTGAAAACTACAGAAATGGTGCGTTACAGAGGCAGATCATAGACTTTCAGAAATTCAAGGTTTCCTTGAGTCATCAGTTCAGAGGTCATCATGTGAACGCGACCCTCATAAGGACAGGTTATTTGTATACATGAAAGGACATGATGCAATGACTCTTTCTGCATCTGTTATTGGTACAATATTCACACATTACTTGATTATTGTTCAAATAAATGTAGTGTCCCCCAACATATAGTGCCTCCCACTTTTTGCTGCTTTCAAATTAGATTACGTTTGGAACTTGAAACAATATATTTCACTTTTCCTCGTCATTTCTCTTGTTTTCTGTCTCTATTTCTCCCATAACCCTCTAATATTTGATCATGTCAATGATGCAGATGTCCATTCCTTCAACTTTCTTGGTTTGGGTTACCGAGTGGACTGGCCCATAAGTATTGTTTTGAGTCCTGGTGCATTGAAAATATAAGCTGAGATATTCAGTTTTCTGATGCAAGTGAAGCTTGCTATATTCTCATTGATTAATGTATGGCGCCCATTAAAGGTAGGGATTCTTTGGCTGATGAAAAGCTTGTGGTAGGCTTTATCTTTCCCTCACCGTAAAACCTCCTTTCTTAGCCAGAGCTATGAAGCTCCAACTCTCAGAAGGGGGTGGGATAACATTTGTCGATAGAAATTGGGTAATATAGCATTTTTCCCCACTTCTTTTGTTGTGTGATTTGAAGCCTCCTATTGAGATTCGATGTACTTTTATCAGCTGATCACTCTTCTGAGTTTAAGCATTGAAAAGTAAAACATAAATAACTGGAAACCGAACTAAACACTGTTTGTTTTGTAATAGTGGCATTTTTTGGAGCTTATTTAACTTCTCATTTTGGAACTATTAATTTCTGAGATGGGTTCTCTAACGTAGTTGTATATAAGTAAGCTTTGATACATGAGTTTTGTTTTAACTACACCTTTTTTTTTTTTAAATTTTCAGTTTCTGACTGCATAATGCTTATTTTGATGTTCTTAAAGTAATTAATTTTCTGTTTTTTCTTCTTCTTGAAATTCCTGCTGACTTTGAAAGGTCAACTAGAACATTCGTTAAACTATTAGCATACTGTTCCAGATTTTATTTTTATTTTCATTTAACTTTGAATCTGAAAAACAGGGAGAACAAGGATTTTAGTGCATAAAGTTACTTGGATTTAGTCTTTTAGATCATGGAAGTGCATGGTAATTCAAGTGATACTTTTTTTGCTGTCACACAAAGGATACTAAAATTTATTTTTATCTGCAGGATTTGGTATGCTCAATTAGTCAGGATATTGACTCTGAACAATATGATATGGGAGCAAGCCATTTTAATGCATTAGTGAAGATGAGGTACATGGAGCAGTTGTGATTTTGTATTTTGGGTTTTCTTTTCTGTTCAAATGCGTAATTCATCTTAGAGAAGGAATTGATTTAGATTAATTGGCTGGGTTAGAAATGGTTACTCAATTAAGGCTTACGTTGGTTTCTAATTGACTTACATAGAGAGTGTAGACCATTATTAGAGTTTATTTCATCTTCTTCCTTCTATTTGGGAGGAATATCTTCATAAGGAAAAAAAGTTTGTTTTCTGGGTTTAATGGGGATGTTGTGAAATGTTGTGATTGTCATGAAATGTTGGCAACATCGAGGAAGAAATGGCTATGCCCCTCAGTATTGATGCAGACTCTTCAAAAAGAGGACGCTTTGGCTGAAATGTCGAGCTGTTGGTCGGCATTTTCATCCTTGAGCACTGGTTTAGTTAGTATGGTCTTTTGCTTCGTAGGAGAGGCCTGCGTTGAATCCCGTGTTCACCAAGCTTGGGGGCCATACAGGTAGGAAAGGTCTAACTCTCACTCTGTATTCATAGGACCACTGGCCTCCAATGGAGCAAAACGAGGGGAAATAACGTGAGGATAGGGCCTTCTGCCTAATTGATAGATAAGTTTTGTAAGATGTGCAGGGAACGATTCTTCTATTTATTATGAAAAATTAGAACAACAATCCATTTGAACTGCCCTATTCCACAATTGTCTCGGGATATGTTTCAACGATTTTTGCCTCTGGCAAGATTGAAGGATTTTCTTTCTGTGATATGTTTGTAGGGCTCTAGTAATAATAACGACTGTAAACTTTTGAAGAATATTCCTTCTGTCTATACATTAGGTAGTTACTTGTACCAGGTTCAGCTTTAACCTAGATAAAAACTAAGAGAAATTGTGACCATCTTCTCAAACAATTTAACTTCCTCACAGGAGTTTTAGTTTATCAAATACTAGCTATAAGATTTCTAATTGAAAATTATGTTGACTAATTTTCTCTCTGAACTATGCCCAGGCACCAGGTCAATCATTTTGTATCTACATTACAGCAATATGTGGAATCACAGTTATCACATGTTTTATGGTGCAGGTTTCTGTACTCACTTAAACATCAGGTTTGAAGCTTGCTATTTTATTCCAAAAAGTCTTCATGCAATTTTACCCTGAAAGTTGAGTTCAAATGATAATTGAGGAAGGTTAATATTAGGACATAAATCTTTGTACATCAACCTTGCGGTTGAAATTTTATGTTATTCTCTTGTTTATGTTCGATAAAGTGTCCATGTAATGGCTGAAGGACCTTACATTTGATGGCAATGAGAGATAAAACAACAACAACAACAAAGCCTTTTCCCACTAAGTGGGGTCAGCTATATGAATCCTAGAACACCATTGCACTCGGTTCTGTGTCACATCTTCCATTAGATCCAAGTACTCTAAGTCTTTTTTTAGAGTCTCTTGCAAAGTCTTCCTAGGTCTTCCTCTACCCTTTCGACCCTGAATCTCTGTCCCGTAATCGCATCTTCTAACCGAAGTGTCAGCAGGCCTTTATTTTACATGTCCAAACCACCGTAACCGATTTTCTCTCATCTTTCCTTTAACTCCTACTTTACCTCGGATATCCTCATTCCTAATCTTATCCTTTCTCGTGTGCCCACACATCTAGCGAAGCATCTCATCTCCGCTACACCCACAATTGATTTGAATTCATGACACATGAAAGGAACATTAAATTTTGCAAAAGCTACTTTTGAATTAAAGTCAAATTCTTGATTCCTGTTTGTAAGTAGTTTGGTGAAAATCATCTAAAGCCTGCCCTATGTGACAAGTAACAATGTTTCCTACGTTTGTTTAAGCTTTGGTATTCGGGCACAAATAGAACGAGAAACGGTGTTGGCATAATTGTGGACAAGACCTTGACACAAGATGTTGTAGATGTCAAGAGGGTAGGAGATAGAATCATGGCAATCAAGATTGTAATAGGACAAGAACTCATCAATGTGATTAGTGCGTACGCACCTCAAGTAGGGTTGGATACGAGTTCGAAGGAGAAATTTTGGGAAGACCTTGGAGACTTGGTGCAAGGAATTGCTCAGACGGAGAAGTTATTTATAGGAGGAGATTTAAATGGACACGTGGGCAGGGAGACAGGCAACTATGGAGGTTTTCATGGTGGCCATGGTTTTGGGGAGAGAAATGAGGATGGGGAAGCTATCTTGGATTTTGCAATGACATATGATCTCTTCTTAGCCAACACCTTCTTTAAGAAGAGAGAAGAACATGTGATCACCTACAAGAGTGGGTCGTCAAAAACACAAATTGATTTTCTTCTAATGAGGAAAGGGGATCGTATAACTTGTAAGGATTGCAAAGTTATACTGGGGGAGAGCTTGGCTAATCAACATTGCTTGTTGGTGATGGATGTACATATCAAAAGAGTGAGAAAAAAGAACAAGACTTGGAAGTGCCCAAAGACTAGATGGTGGAATCTAAAAGGAGAAAAACAAGTCATTTTCAAAGAGCAAGTAATCACCCAGTGTGTGTGGGATAGAGAGGGGGAAGCTAGCCAAATGTGGGATTCCATGGCTAGCTGTATCCGAAAAGTAGCAAAAGAGGTATTAGGAGAGTCCAAGGGCTTTGCTCCACACCAAAAGGAATCTTGGTGGTGGAATGAGGAGGTACAAAAAAAGGTGAAGGCTAAGAAGGAATGTTGTAAAACCTTATACAAGGATAGGACCGATGAAAATGGTGAAAGGTATAGAAGAGCGAAGCAAGAGGCGAAGAAAGCTGTGAGAGAAGCTAAGTTAGCGGCTTATGACGATATGTATAAGAGCGACTAGATACCAAAGAAGGAGAGTTGGATATCTATAAACTAGCTAGAGCAAGGGAAAAGAAGACAAGGGACCTAAACCAAGTGAGGTGCATCAAGGATGAGGATGGAAAGGTTCTTGCTACAGAGAGAACGCGGTCAAAGACAGATGGAGAGGTTATTTTCATAATCTTTTCAATGAAGGACATGAAAGGAGTACTCCTTTAGGGGAGTTGAGTAACTCAGAAGAGTGTAGAAACTACTCCTTTTATCGTCGAATCAGGAAGGAAGAAGTGGTTGTAGCTTTGAAGAAGATGAAGCCTAGAAAAGCAGTGGGCCCAGACGATATACCGATTGAAGTGTGGAAAGCCTTGGGAGAGACAGGTATAGCATGGCTCACTGACCTTTTCAATAGGATTTTGAAAACGAAGAAGATGCCAAACGAGTGGCGAAAGAGCACCTTGGTGCCTATTTACAAGAATAAGGGCGACGTACAAAATTGCATGAACTATAGGGGTATTAAGCTAATGAGTCATACAATGAAGCTCTGGGAGAGAGTCATTGAGCATAGATTGAGGCAAGAGACACGGGTTTCGGACAACCAATTCGGGTTCATGCCAGGGCGCTCAACCATGGAGGCAATCTATCTCTTACGAAGATTGATGGAAAGATATAGAGATGGGAAAAAGGATTTACACATGGTCTTTATAGATTTGGAAAAAGCGTATGATAGGGTCCCAAGAGACATTCTTTGGAGGATTTTAGAGAAGAAAGGAGTACGAGTAGCTTATTTATTGAAACAAAGCGTATGATACGTTGAAATGAAACAAAGCTTATTTATTGATATCTCTAAGAAGTTACAAATATGTACATCTACACGAGTCAAAATAAACAAACAAGAGGGAGCCTTCACAAAGGTTGCTTAGGAGAAGTCTCATCAGTTGGTAGAGCCCCAGAAAGAGAAGGCACCGGAGGGGGAATCATTTGGAGCCTCAGTACTGGACAGCACCCTAGAAGGAGGAGGCATTGGAGGTTGATCATTTGGAGCTTCATTACGCGGTACAGCCCCAGAAGACGAAGGCAATAAATGCCTTTGGAACAAACCCATAGACCTCTGATGATCATGTAAAATCTGACCATCAGATTCCTTCATCTGGTCAAGCTTCCTCTTCATGTTTGTAGCATAGTCATGAGCGAGCCGGTGCAACTGTTTATTCTCATGCTTGAGCCCTCTAATCTCCTGTTTGAGACTCATCACTTCAGCCGCCAATGATTCAACTTGGCGGGTTCGAGCAAATAGGCGTTGGGCTATATTAGACACAGAACCTGCACACTGAACACTGAGAGCCAGAGAATCCTTAACAGCCAACTCATCAGACCGTTTGGAAAGTAGTCTGTTATCTTTGGGAGTGAGAAGGTTCCTGGCCACCACAGCAGCGGTCATATCATTCTTCATCACGGAATCCCCAACGGTAAGAGGACCAGTAGGGGATAAGAAGGATGGGTGCCATATGTTGTCTGGAGAATGCGTGGTTGCCTTTTCAACAAGGTTCAAGTCAAAACGACGGTCGGAGGGGCCAGACATTTTCAAAGGTGTTGAAGAGAAAAGAGGTCGGACAAATCAAGATCTTAGAAATGCAAGAAGGGAGCTTCTACTGGTGGAGATTCAAGTGTGCTTTGGAACTTAATACCTGCCTCTATAAAAATCCGCACTCGATGGAGCTTCAGAAATCGAAGAGGCGCCTGCTCAGAAATCGAAAAGGCGTTTGCTTTCTCAAAAGCTGGGCTGCTCAGAGACCACGAGGGCCGATCTCAGGAATCGAAGAGGCGTTTGCTTTCTCAAAAGCTGGGCTGCTCAAAGACCACGAAGGTCGATCGCAGAAATCGAAGAGGCGCTTGCTTTCTCAAAAGCTGGGCTGCTCAGAGACCACGAGGGCCGATCTCAGAAATCGAAGAGGCACCTGCTTTTTCAGCCTTGTCAGCACCTGTCACATGCACACTCAACTTTGCTGAAATTACGGGCATTCTGTCGAAGATTTCTAGTGAAGTAGAAAGCACGTGAATGTTACTGTTCAATCATTCACTTTCCACACGCAACATCAGCTCACGGGTACCACATATAACTTTGCCAAAAATCTCTGACAAAGTTTAGACACGTGAAGCTTGCAGCTCCCATTACATCGCTATGACCAAGAAGGGTAAAAGAATAGCAAAGAAACAGCACTAACAAAGTTTAAACACATAAATTTTGAAGGTCTAGCTACCATATTATTACCCACAAGGGTAAAGGAATAGGACCATTGCTGGATAATTGGAAAGTCCCTGTGGGTTAACCTCTGTGCTCCGTGGCAAGGTAGACTAGCAAACAGGCCTAACCTTTACTCACATTCGAGAAAACACTCCCAACAAGATTGCTTGCTTCAAGATCGAAGAGGCACTGTTCTCCGAATCTCGAGAGCCAGACTCTCAACATGATTACTTTCTCAAAAAGCGACGAGACACCGCTATCCGAATCTCGAGAGCCAGACTCCTAGCAGGATTGCTTTCTCAAAAATCGAACAGGCACCGTTCTTCGAATCTCGAGAGACAGATCCCCGACAGGATTGCTTGTTCGAAAACCGAAGAGGCACCGCTTTCTCAACTTCGAGAGCCCCTTAGATAAAGCTTGTCTGTAATCCTCACACCGTTTTCCCAACTTCGAGAGCCAGATCTCCTTGGATAAAGCTTGTTTGTAATCTTCACACGTAACATCAGCTTTCCAGATACCACAGACCACTTTTTCAAAGTGCTCTGACAGAGTTAAAACACGTGAAGCTGGCAGCTCCCACTACCGTGCTATGACCAAGTAGGGTAAAAGAATAGTATTACTCCTTGTTAGGGAGACTCCTATATATGTCGACCTCCATCCTCAACGGACAGGCACACCTGCAAAAATGCTCAACCCTTCCTCATATTTGAGAGGGCACTCCCAACGAAGCCTCTCGAAATACTCAGCTTTCTTTCCCCCCGAGAATACCTCTGCAAACAAGCTACACTAGAGCAAGAATATCTCATATCATCAGGGTTAAAAGCAAGAGTATCCCATATCATGCTTTTTCCCTATCTTTTCCTTTGGCCTTGTTCTTATCTGCAAGACAAGGAGAAAGAGAGCAATCAGTCAGCACTTGGAATCAAGCTTCCAGTCCGAAACTGACTGCCTGGAACCCCATTGCTCTCGAGTACTCATTTTCAACATCTTATGCTTCCCGAGAAGATACCACATCTGCCTGAGGAACAAATAGGGCAAGTGAGAAGGATACAAGGAAGCATGTGGAGACAAGCGCAACAGAACACGTGCCGATACATCCACAACTTTGTCAACAGCAAAAGTATCCCAAATCAGCAGGGTCGAACGTACTCTAGATTTGATGGACTTGTTTTGACCCTCAAATTCTTCAGTCGGCCTTATACTCTGGCGGAAACAAGAAAACCCTCCAGCCCAGTTCAAGAATAAGCCTGTGGAAAGTTATTTCTTCAAAAGTAAAAGTATCTCATATCACATTTTCTCCTTTTCTTCTCTTTATGCTTCATGCTACCTGCAAGATAAGGAGAAAGAT